TTAATGTTAACTGCTACATGAATTATGTAAATTTTCTTGTATTAATTAAAGAAACACTTAATAGTTTCACAGTATAAGCAATTATACGATAAGCTTTTGAATACATCAATTAATTGTTACAATTTTAATTACATAAAATGAGTATCATATGTTAAATTCTTACTCCATTATCAAAATTTTCTGGTAGATCCCTTTACAGCTATAACCTCAATAATTGACAATAATGCGTAATAAATAAATATATCATTTTTAAAAATGTAGCATGGGCATGACCATGCCTGTTTTTTTTTTTCCAATTCATAATAAGGATTTGTCAGTGACCACCCGGGCGAATTTTCTCTTCTTTTTTAGGGGTAGAGGTGTTCCGGAATGGTGTCATTCAAAAGTGAACTCAGGGGTGTTCTTGAACAGCAATTCTGGAACATTGATAAGCATATCTTCTAATAAGCATATGTTCTGAAACAAGTGATCTGAAAATTATGCTAAGTTGCATTTTATAAAAGGGGTGGTTCCGGAATAATATAATTCTATCTCAGAATAACAATTTTTAATATGTTATGGAAATGTGATTCTCAAATAATTTAGTTTTGTTGCATATTGCGGCATATGATGATAAGATGCGGATAATTAACTTCCCTACATAATATTTAAATGGGAGAAAAAAAGAAAATTAAATTCTATTTCTAGAAAAATTAGTTTCTCATAATTAGTAAATAATTCAATTTTTTTAAATATTTATGATGCATAATTGTTTAAATAATTGAATCACATTATTTCGTTTTGAATATAAATAAATTATGTTAGGACACACCCAAAAGCCGAGAATATTTAAAGGTTAAATTATTATTTTTTAATTTTATCTTTTTATTATTCTAATTCAATTTGTTCCTTTTTTTTTAATTATTTAACATAGTCCATTTCTTTAATACCATTAAAGTGTGCAAGAGTACTGTAAGTATTATTTATCATAATTCTTAAAAATCAAATATGTTATTTTCACATGAATCTCATAATCAAAATTATTTACGATAATATATATATATATATATATATATATATATATATATATAAGATGTCAAATAAAATTTGATATATAAATTAAATATATAAGATTATATTATTTATGTTAATATAGAGTAAATAAAAAGATGTTGGGGAGTAAATATCATACCGCCCCTCCCAATCTGTCATTAACATCTTGATAGAGTTACATTAATAAATATATAATTATAAATATTTATTTTTGACTTATTTAAAAAAATTAATATTAGAAATAATAAAATAAAATAAAAAGATTCAATCTTATATATATATATATATATATATATATATATGTATATATGAATAAAATATCAACAATTAATAAATTTTATGACCATTCAAAAATAGTGAATGTAATCATTATATCCAATAAAAGATAACCCGAATAAATATCAAAATTATAAAAAAAATATGTAAATATGTTATTTAATTAATTTTCTAATTTTATAATCTTGCGCATATTTAAATATTAATGTCACGTTAATTTAAATAAATCATTGAAATTTAATTAATTTAGTTATTAGTGGTATAATCCGTTGAGGGGAACATCTTAGAAAAATACAAATACCACAAAATTGAAATTTCTTAGTTTTTATATATTAGAGTAGCAATCATATACAATCACAACTTTTGTTGACTACCTTCTTCTTTTTCAACACATTCAAGCAAGCTTATTGAACAGATTAATTCTTTAGTCAATTTCTTGACCGAAGCATAAACAACTACTTGCTTTTCGCTACAAAAAAAAAGCATGAATTTGTTGACCTTGACCAGACCAAGCATACCAATTCTTCCCAATAGAGTGTTGACTTAATTTGATACTACTACATTCACAATTATATATTTAGAAAAGTTTTTTTTTAATATGGCTTGCTTTTAATATTAATAATTTTAAATAAATTTTAGGCAATAGTGAGGAATATATTAAATTTGCTTTTAAAAAAATTACTTGCATGTTATTGATATAAGTGATGTTAGAGTTAATTTCAATAAATTTCGATTTTGAATTTTATGGATCAAAATCATAAGATTTTTTTCTCTTAATATAAATTATATACAATATACGAAAGTGGTGTAATATAGTATTATGTTATTTTGTAGTCTTTTTATATTTAAATTTATTTCTAATAAAAGTATTTTTTTAATTTTAATTTATATTCACTTTCATTTCACACCAATATTTCGAACGTGGTTTGAATCATTATTAGAGAATAATGACCAAAATGATGTGATTAAAAAATTGTCGAACCTAACTGAACTTTTTAGTTCTTTATATTTTAATGATTAAGTTTTAAAAGTTTCAATATGGAATATTATGTTTTTGTTAACTTTATCCCTAATTAATAGATTAACATGTACGTAATCTATTGACCTATTTAACTTTTTTGTTAAAAAAGTAACCCTTTTAAAGCTTCATGTATCAAATTAAGACTTTTAAAATAAAGCGTGAAATTAAGAGTTTTAAAACTTCATGTGTTATTTTCCAAAAATAAATAATGTAAATGTTTATTAATTATTGATTTATCAATTACATCATCTATCATCTATCTATCTATCTATTTAGGTTATTTAGGTTGATATTTTAATTCTAATATAAACAAAAAATAACAATAGAAAAAATAATTATAATTTAAAAATATAATCTCACGATTAAAATATACTTTTCAACTTTTTCAATATTTTTTATTTATTTCTGTAATATGAAAATTTGAATTAAATTTGTACAGACTAATAAGGTTAAATGAGACTAATTTTAATCATTGTTTTTATGATATTTACTCATTTCAATATCTAAAATCCAACTTCACATCTATAATATCATCCTAAATAAATATTATTATTTAAAAATAATTAAATAATATAAATATAAATTAATAAACAAAGACAAATACATAACTAAGACATGCGTTTAACTGAAAATAAATAAAATATGATTAATTCGTAACGAAAGATAAATAAATATAAAACAATACCAAGTACATAATTGGAGAGGAATAAAATAAATAAATATAAAATATTATAACTACATAACTAGAGATAAATAAATAAACATAAAACATAGGTACATAATTAGATATAATTAAAATAATACTAATACAAGACTGAAGATAAAATAAATAAATACAACGTAAGACCAATGTATAATTAGAAATAAATAAAATATAAGATAATAAATAAAATCAGGTTAAAAACACCTCAATCAATAAATATAAATATATCTTCTATTCTTTCTTTCCCATTCCCTTCTCTTCTCCTCTTTCTCTCTTTTTTTATTTTATTCAATTTTTTTTTATTTTTGATCTATTTAATTAACCATTAAATAACTAACTATTACTTTTAGACATTACTTATATCTTCTTAGGATAAATTAGCTTTATTTTTTTTAAGAGAAAAATAATATTTTTTTATCTTTATAAATTAAATAATAATAATAATAATAATAAATTTTAATATATATTTAATTTATTTTTAATAATAATATATATTTTTAATAAATATTTGTTTTATTATAAATATATTTAAAATAATCTAGTACAAAATTTTTAGATAATAAATTTCAAGTATATATATATAAAGAATTAAAACTTACGTACATGACACAATTAGTAATTTAGGACTATTCTTTAATCATATTTAAAGTTTCATCGTAATAATATGTAATTTATTATATTTGTTTTATTATAAATATATTTAAAATAATCTAGTACAAAATTTTTAGATAATAAATTTCAAGTATATATATATAAAGAATTAAAACTTACGTACATGACACAATTAGTAATTTAGGACTATTCTTTAATCATATTTAAAGTTTCATCGTAATAATATGTAATTTATTTGATGAATGAAAAAACAAAATTAAAAATTATTATATTATCAAATAACTTTTCGACAAATTTATACACAATAATATGCAAGAATAATTGATATTACTTTTCAATTAAATTTAAATTTTGTTATATGTTATGTATTTAACAATTGTCATCAACATTTTTCTTTTTATCAAATGTTTTCAATTTGTATGATAAAAACTTTTATAACCCTTAAATAATAAAAAAAGATGTTTTTTTATTATTAATATAAATGAAGCATTAGATTTTTATTAATGATATGATGTTGCAACAACTTCTAGTTAAAATATTATCAGTAAAAGTTTTTCATCTTATTAATGTCTTAAGCATTACGTTAATAATACTTTTAGCATTTAGTTTTTTCTTTTTTGACAAAAAAAATTATCTTTTTAATAAGGGTAAGAATCATATTTTCACAAACTATATTATTCTTTTGACATAAATAAAGGAACTCTTCTCAAGATATATCTTTGGCAACTTCGTAAAGAAAAAAAAAAGGTAAAATAACAAAACAAATATTTTGTTTGAAAAAATATGCATAGATAATTTGCTAATATATACCTTTATTTAATTAGAATTTTATGATAAATATTTATTAACTTTTAAAATTAGAATTTTATGATAAATATTTATTAACTTTTAAAATTATTATTTTAAAAATCATAACAACAATTTTTATCAATTAGGTTGGGTAAGTTTTTAATTTTTCATATTTGACAGTATGTACACGTAACCTTATTTATTTGCTAAAATAAACTTGAACTTCGCACAATTGGTCGTTTTCCCACGAATTTGATGCAATAATTCAAAATTGTAATTCTCACATGTGCACTATATATACACATTATCACCAACGAGAGCTTTTTCTGTTCAGTGTGCCGAGAGGAACGCAGTCATACTGATTCTTTCACCTACCCTTCTTTTTCCTTTCTGGCCGCCTCTTCTTCCTCTGCATACTCCTGGATTCTTATTTCTACCAGCCAACCAATTTTTCTTCTCAGTACCCTTGAAACCACATATCTTAATATTACTTTTATCCTTGTTCATTAACCCCCTATCATCACATAAACCCAGAAAAAAAAAAGAATCTTTGAGAGGTTCTCATTGATGGGTCGGAGAGGGATCAAGCTTTTTGATGAAGAAAGGAACGGTCTTTTCTCAATTTCCAATTTTGGGTCTCAATGGGATGCCGGTGTTCACGACCCTGTGGCTATGTTTGCTAGCGTTAGTCAAATGGGTATAGGGTTTGGCGTTCAAGAGCCGAACCCTTCTTCTGGTGATTCCCAGCATAATAGTGGCATGAACATTAGGATCCCCTGCACTGAGATGTACGTGAGGTATGTGCAATCAGAGGGGAAGGTGAAGATTATTGGGGTTCCTGGGGAAGAAGAGGCGGTGGCTGGTGTAAAGGGGAAGAAAAAGGGTGTCTTTAAAGGGTTGAAGATCAAGGTGAAGAACCCTTCCCTTAGGAGGTTACTTAGTGGTGCCTTTGCTGGGGCACTGTCACGCACAGCTGTGGCACCCTTGGAGACTATTCGGACTCATTTGATGGTTGGAAGTAGTGGGAATTCTACTGGGGAGGTGTTCAGCAATATCATGAAGACTGATGGGTGGAAAGGCTTGTTTAGGGGTAATTTTGTTAATGTGATCCGCGTTGCACCTAGCAAGGCCATTGAGGTAGTTATATATATGTGTACCTCCTTTTGTATGGTTATGTTTTACAGGGTTTTTTAGGCTTGTGGTGGACGGGTTTTGGTTTGCTTGATTTGATTCTATCCACAAGTGTGTGTGTGTGTGTGTGTGTGTGTTTACCTCATTTTATGTGTGTTTATCTCATTTTGTATGTTTGTACATCATTTTGTATGGTTATGTTTTACAGGTTTATTTAGGATTGTGGTGAACAGTGTATATATGCTTGGTTATGTGTATGTTTGTCTACATCATTCATGGTTATACTTTACAATTTTTTGAGTTTAGGGTGATTGGTGTTTTGTTGCTTGATTTGATTGCCTCAATGTGTTTGTTGTTTGGACGTTAATTTTGTTTATTGCTTTATTCTATTGGATTCTTGGTTGGTTTTTGTGTTTTATTATGTCCAAAGCTTTAATACTATTGGCTGGATTTGTCTTTACTAGTGCCATTTGTATTGTCAATGTAAGTACAAGTTTTTGAGAGATTCTTGAATTTAGGTTTAATGACCTAGGCTGATGAATTATTTTTTATAGCTTCTACCACAATGGAAATATCTGCTTTCTATCTAGCTAGTTCTATTGTTCCCAGAATTTTTGTTAATCTTCCTGAGTGTTTCCTGAATCCTCCGGTAGTTTTATTTTTTAATTTCTTTTCTTAATGTTGATAAGGAACGTTCACGTTATTGTTCCTTTTTCTCTTCTTCTTGGTGTAGACTGGTAGCTACAGACTAAAGAAATGTAAAATATATAAAATGATTTTCCTTTATGTGCAACTTGTTTCTAATGAAATATTCTTTAACTTCTAGTTGTGTAAATTTTTTCCTGTTAAATCCTCCTAAAATCACTTTCTAATTTGACAAGGTAAATTGCAATTGAATGAACTTCATTCTGCCTTTCCTCTCAAATGGATTTTTCCTGTTGTTGATGTCTTATCATTAGGTTACATTTCCCTTTATGATATCAGTCGAGTTGAGATATTTAAACAGTTTTGTTTTACAAGTCACGCAGCCAATATTGCTTTTTGTTGTCATGGTTTTTGGTAAACGTCATGTCATGTGTAAATTTTGATTTTAAGGCAAGTAAACTGTATAAGTCAACTTAATGAAATGTGCTTTCGTATTGTAGTTGGTGATACAATATTAAACCACTTAAATGATATCCACAGTCCTTTTTCACACTGAAGAGAGAATTAGTTGTTTTCAGATAAGAAAGCATAAAAACTATCTCAAAACTTCTCACTTCCAAAGAATTTGCAATTGTTTTTTGCCTTGCATATTTCTCTCTGATCCCTTTTTATGCAAAGAATATACAGTCATGGATTTAATGCTTTGTTGGAAATTCATATTTCAAATTTTTGACATCATGAAGGTGTCTGCTAGACAGTGATCCCATGTAATCTTGTGATATATTTATCTGAATACATTTCACTTGTTTCTGCAGCTATTTGCGTATGATACGGTAAACAAGAACCTCTCACCAAAGCCAGGGGAGCAACCTAAACTCCCTATTCCTCCATCACTGATAGCAGGTGCTTGTGCTGGAGTTAGTTCAACTATATGCACGTATCCTCTGGAGTTACTAAAGACTCGGCTAACTATCCAGGTGTGTACATATAAAAGCAAACAAGCTCATGTTTTCCCATTAGTTTAATTTCTGTATGTCTGCAATAGTTTTCAAACTATCACCAATTAGAAATTATCATGCATGTTGATTTTTGAATAATTTAACAATGTTAAGAAATCTTTACGGGTCAGTTCATAAGACTATTTCTTTTTCTCATAGTTTATCTTATCATGGAACCAAAATAAAAGTAGAATTTAATCTAAACTAGTAATTTTGCAGAGGGGTGTTTATGAGGGTCTACTAGATGCATTCGTGAAAATAGTGAGAGAAGAGGGTGCCGGAGAACTTTACAGAGGCCTCACTCCCAGCCTTATTGGAGTTATACCATATTCTGCCACCAATTACTTTGCCTATGACACCTTGAGGAAAGCATACAGAAAAATTTTCAAAAAAGGGAAGATTGGCAACATTGAAACCCTTTTGATAGGATCAGCAGCTGGTGCTATTTCAAGTAGTGCTACCTTTCCTCTTGAAGTGGCTCGCAAGCATATGCAAGTGGGAGCCCTCAGTGGAAGGCAAATATACAAGAATGTGATTCATGCCCTTGCAAGCATTCTTGAGCAAGAAGGGATCCAAGGATTGTACAAAGGGTTGGGACCTAGCTGCATGAAGTTGGTGCCAGCTGCAGGAATTTCTTTCATGTGCTATGAAGCATGCAAGAGGGTCCTGATAGAGGACGATGATGAGGAGTAGCATGAGGTAGTAGAAGAGTAGGCAGAGCTGCATTAAACAAATTTTGCATTTTTGGTTAAATTATTCTGGATTGTTATTATTGCTGGAATTATTGTTTACCCCATAGTAACTTTTTATTAGAAAATTGGTAATGGAATAATGATTTTTTGGTTTTTCTTAGTCTCTTACCTATTGACATTAACTAATCTTTCGTTGCTTTCTCTTTGCTGAACTGCAGATTTTAGGTAAAAACACTCCATTGTATATAAATAAACATGCTCATGTATTAACTTCTATTAAAAATTGTAAATTTCCAAGTTCAGGTGCTGCTCTCTTATCAAGATATAAATTTTGAATATTGAAATTGTGAAGTTACCCTTTAAACAGCACCATGACCTTGCACGTGACTATGTGAAATTTGTAACAATTTCGAATCTGACATACTTCAAAACATCAAAGTTAATGCCAAACTTGGAGCAAACATAGTTAATTGCGGTGAAAATGATCATTCTGGGGATTATTATTTTCTAGTAAATTCAAAAAAATGTTTTATCTTGGATTCATCAATGTTTATGTATAACTAAAATTTCTTGTTAGCTAACTGAAATTGCAAGAAAGCACTCCGAATGAGTGGATGGAAGCTCTTGATCCTTCTTAAGGTTATGTATTTGACCGAAATGCTTACAAAGAGATGTAGACATTCAAGTGAGAATTGGTATCTCAAATAGGAATGATAATTGTAAATTATATCTTTCTATTGGATATATATCCGTAGTTAATAGTTCACTTTTATTATCCATAATTAGCTAGAGATAATGTATTTAATGTAAGAGATAAATAAAATGAGGTATTTAATGTAAATTTTATTAGGAAAGAAAGAGAGAAATGAAATAAAGTGAAAAATATTTTTATTCTTTTACTGGAAAGTAATTTAAAAAAGAAGAAATAAATAAATTAAAATTAAATATTTATTTAATTATAAAATTATTTGTATAATAATTAATTAATTTTTTTATTAATGAAATAACTTTTAAAATTATTACTTTTGAATTAATATCTATTTTTTAATAATATATAATTATAATTTTTCTTATAAAATTATATATTTTTAAAAAATATTTGAATGTAAATTAGTAAAACAATATTATATTAAAAAATAAAAATATATTAAATTATTTATTTTATTTTATAATAACTTTTATATTTAAGACATTTTATTAAAAAAAAACTGAAATTATAAATGCAAACATACTCACTCGCGTTCTTTAACTAGAGCATGGTGAAAAATAGAAAAGAATCTCACACTTCAATACTATTGGAAACCAAACATAACAGAAAATATTACGTTAACATTTCTTAATTATTCATAATTCAACCACTGAAACACCTACATAAGAGAAAACATTGCCAGAACATTCTTTAAGTGCTTAATCTGCTGACCAGTATTCATAATCAAACTACTAAAATACTCACAAAACAGATAAATTATTCATCAACTTATTATTAACATTTCTTAAAGACTTCACCTTCATAATTAAACAACTAACACACTGAGGCGTTGACTTTTCAGCAAAGATGTGTCATCATCTTTATGAACATCTCATTGGCACCCAATACTATAGTCTGCACTGCCATTTCCCTGAAAAAACATAAGCAGTATTTTGGTTAATCTGCTAATGGAAATTTTAGACAATGGTAACTAAGAATATGTTTAGAGAAACTTCTTTATGAATCTTTAATTTTTTTAAATTTAAAATTTAATTATACATACATTAATTTATAAAACAATATTTTCAATTAACCTTTTTAACACATGCATGAACTAATTTTACTTTATACAAAAAAAATTATACCATTTTTTTCTTCTTATTTTCTCTTCCTAAATTTTCTCTTAACATATCCTAATTCACAAAGTTTACCATTGTCATTATAAAAACAGAGAATGATATTGTTATTTTAATGATATAAATATCATGACAATTTGTTGTAACTAATTTGTTGGACCAATATTTGTTAAGTTACTCGTTTTAAATAATTAAATTAAAAATTAAATATGCTTTGACGCGTATTGTTTACATATTTTTATTTAAATTAATTATATTCTTGCGTATGTGTATTTAAGAAAATTCAAAAGTTGAAGAGACATACAAAAACTTAAAATATTCAGATAATTATATAACACTAATCACCAATAAGTTCAAGATAAAAAAGAGAGGGAAATATTCTCACTGCAAGAAGAAGAATTCTAAAAGTTTGATAAAAGAAAATCAAAGGTGGAAGCAAATGACACAGTATGTTACTAATGCAAAGAGCATAAGAAAACAGTATTCCAAAAAGTTCAAGAAGAAAATAAGTTATTTGGGAAGATATGGGCAATAGTAAATATTGAAGAAGATCCTTATCATCATGTTATTTGATTATGAAGAAATTCCTTATAGTTATCTAGTAGAATAATATTTTTTGAGTATTAGTAGGAATAGTAAAAGGGTTTTATTTCACCTTTCTTTTAATTCTTAAATATTAAATGGATTGGATTGGTTTATATAATTAAGAAAGATTATAAATCTAAATTTATTAAAAAAAAGCTGGTTGACTAGTTTGTAAATATTTTTAATTATATGAATAATTTTTAAATTTTTATTTATTACTATTTTTATTAAATAAAAAAAATTATTATATTTGTATGTTAAAATAATTAATTATAAATAATAATTTAAATTTAATTCATTAATATTTATAATTTAAATTATAATATTATAGTATATTTATATATTTTAACAACAATAAAAAAATATAATACTTTTAATTTTTATTTTAATATATAAATATTTTTTTTCAAAAAAGTTAGTCCATCTCACTCGATCAACTTATTTGAGATTGACGAATGCACTAATCCGTTAAACTTATCTCCTTTTATCATCTTTAAATATTAGAAAAAAAAAATACAAGAAAAAGAGGTCTAATATGAGGATCCAATAATATCTTGATACCAAAATCTTAAATCCAAAATAATACGTTGATATTGGATGCTTCCACGATAAACCTATTATATTAAGTAAATAATAAAATTTATTATTTTTTTTAATATTTGTAACTGTGAATGTTTGGGTTATCAACCATCTTAATTTGTTTTATTAAAAGGAAAAGATCTATTGACACCGATCTTTTAATAAACATACTTCCTATAACTTTATTTAATAATATAATAATAGTTTCAATTTTTTTAATCTCATAAAATTTGTTTATAATTATTATAATAATAAAATGAGTTGTAGCATAAAAGTTTTTTTCAGAAACCTATGTTCAAAAAGCCTATAATCACATGTGGGAACTATGTCCTTTGGAGGAAATGAAAAAGGAAATGTGATTTAGATAAAGGTATGGATGGACTCCATATTGAAGGATCACCTAAAACAGTATTAGATGAAGATAAGAATTGATAATATTAGAGTAAGATTAGATGAAGAAAGATCATATAAAAAAATAAAATGAGACAAGAATAACTAGAATAATAAGAATAGACAAAATGAGATTAGACAAAATAAGATTAGATCAAACAACATTATATGAAACAATCATAAATAGAATAAAGTTAAGACAAAGTAAGAAAAAACGAAACAATAAAATCAAATAAAATGGTTAAAATCAGGTTAGGTTGATAGTTTAAGGACATAGACAAAAAAACAAAAAAATATTTCAAATAAATCTTTGTTCTAGATCAGAAGTTAAATATAATTTTATGAGAATATGTGTAAAAAAGATTTTTTATATAATCTTTATGAATATTATTAATAAATGGACAACTATTTTTACTAATCTCTATTTGATAAAATTAAAATCAATTCTTTTAAAAATAGTTGTATTATAATCTTTATGAATAACCACAAGTATTTGCATAATGTGGACATCATCTTATAATACCCGGTCTAGGTACACATCAAGATATGTTCAAGGGATATCTTTGAGCACTCTAATTCCATTTTTCATCACGTCTTCTCAAATAAAATTTTAGGTTGAGTATAAAAATCATTAAAATAAATATTATATATATATATATGTATATATATATATATATATATATATATATATATATATATATATATATATATATAACTTTAGCTTCAAATACAAAAGAAAGCTGGCATTAATTTCAAAAGAAGATTTTAAAATAAATAACATTTTAAATTGTTTGTTAAATTAAGTTTCTAATAATAATTAATTATTATTTATATTTTTAATGTACTTATATGTTATTATGTAGAGAATATAAACTACTTTTAAGATTTTAACTGGACTATACTGATAATGTAATTGTTTTTTTTTAACAATTCCATCCTATTGTTATCATATCGTGTATAGTATATAATTATATTATATTAATACATATTTATATTATTAATAGTTATATTGACATAATTTATTTTTTCGTAAAATTTATTATTTCAACAATTTATTTTTTAGTGCTAACTATAATTTTATTCCATATTTCATATACAAAATAATTTGTATGCATATAATTTAAGGAGGAAAAAAAGGGAAGTCATAAACCCTCAATTTAACACTTCCCCATCAAACACAAAATAAATTTAGCATTAGCATTGTTTATACACATAATTTTTTAAAATACATCATTTTATTTGGAACTCGTTGTTTTATCAGATAAAAATAATTATTTTTAATATTTTAAAAAGAAATTTAAGAAAAAATATTATATATATATATATATATATATATATATATATACATACATATACACATACTTTTACTTTTATTTACTTAAAAAGTTGTATAATTATATTGTGATGAAATAAAATATACGATAAAATTACATATCAACTAAATATTTTGAGTATAATTTTTATGTTATCCAATTTAATATTATACATCAGTCTAATAAAATAATAATTATATTTATTAAATAATTATTAGGTGGAGATTGTTTTCATGGTATATTTATAACAAACTAAAAAGTTACAGCCCTTGTTTAGTTTATCTTACCAGGGAAGGAGGAGTCACAGGTATCACGTGTATGTCAACCTTTCTTGCAACAGTCACTCCAAATTCCTCAGTCATGTCGAAGTCCTCACTTTTCATTCCATTTGGAAGCTTCCAATCAAAGTGAAACAACAAAAATGCAAGTGTGAGTTCAACATTTACCAAACCAAAGGTGATGCCTGGACATATTCTTCTTCCAGCACCAAAGGGAATGTACTCAAAGTGATTCCCTTTATGATCAATAGCGCTATCAATGAATCTCTCTGGATAAAACCTCTCTGCTTCACTCCAGTACTTTGGATCTCTTCCAAGAGCCCAAACATTGATCACCACCTTGGTTTTGACTGGTATGTGAAACCCATCAATCTCACATGTCTGTGCACATTCTCTTGGAAGCGCAAGAGCAGCTGGTGGGTGCAATCTTAGGGTTTCTTTCACAACTGATTTCAAATACTTTAGTTCATTCAGGCAACTCTCCTCAACCCTTCCTTTCACATTGAATACCTCTCTCACCTCATCTTGAGCTTTCTTCATCACTCTTGGATTCTTTATCATCTCCGCCATTGCCCAATTTATGGTCGTTGCTAAAGGATCAACTCCTGCTGCAAATATGTCCTGCAAGGATATCCAAAGACAGAGTTCTTTATGGATTTTATTGTAGGATTTAGGGTTTAATTTTTAATCAAAACTCATAATAAAAGAAGAAAAGAAAAGTACTTTCAATTGGTTGCGAAATTTTGGTTAATTAAAACGGTAGTGTCTAAAATATGCATGTAAAGAAGAAAATACAATATTAAAAATGCATAATTAAGAAAATAAAAAACTTGAGACTACAATTAAATTATTAAGATAATTTATAACTATAAATATCTTAAATTAAAAATAATTTAAAGTTTGTACAGGGTCAATGGTCCTCACAGACAACAAATTTGTTCCTGGTTACAGCTAAGTACTGTTGTTGGGAAGATAAGATCAATCAAATTTTATATTATATATAAGATCAGTATATATATATATATATATATATATATATATATATATATATATATATATATATATATATATATGTTTGTATGTTTAAAATTTGAGTTAATATTATCCTTCTAAAATTTCGATATTAATTACTCTTTTTATCAACCATCTGTATCTCTTTATATATTTTATTGTAGAAATTAAAAAGAATAAAATAAAATATCGCAAATTATTTATTAAAGTAAAAAAATTATTACATCTTTTAGTTTCTTCAAAATATTTTAAACATATCTATTAAAAAAACGAAAAGAGTAAATATTAAGATTGTGATATGGCGTTAAAAAAAACAGTTGATTCAATTTATTTTAAATAGTTGATATTATTTCATGTTTTGATGTTGTTTATCTTTTATTAAAGAAAAATTAGAAATATAATATTTTTAAAATTTTAAAACATTTATAAGATTTTTTGTTTTTTTTTTTTCTATATCATTATATATATACATATATATATATATATATATATATATATATATATATATATATATAAACTAATTAATGATAGATGAAAAGTACAAGGATATAAATGATGTGGGGGTTATTGAAAAGGATGGTTCTGTTTAAAAGTATTTTCTTGTTCCCCATGTGTTTTTTTTTTTTTTTCTTCGGTGAATGATTTTCTCCACACTTGAAACAAAGTGTGTTCTTAAAAGTCTAGCTATATTTAAACTAAAAGACAAAATAAGCAACATTATCAGAGATAAATTTGTTGACTACATAAATATCATATCATTTTAAAATTATCCATACTATATACAGGTGTAAATTTAATATAATGTTTTTGGTAGAGAATTTTTTTTTATTTTTTTATATTTGAGAATCAATATTTCTGAAAATTATTCCTCAGAATTATGATTTTTAAGTAAGACAAATATATGTTTTATTGGTGATAGTGTTCATATACATTTTTTTAAATAAAAAAGTAATATATAATTATTACTAAAATTTGTTATTTGTTACTACAATAAATGATTTATCAGGATTAAAATATTTTTTAATTTAAGAAAATTAGATTCACTAAATCAGAATGATTTTTGAAAATTTTAGCTAAAAAAGTTGTCGAAAAATCTGATATTTAAAGATGGTATTCTTTAAAAGGTAAACCAAACTTTAAAAAAATACATTTTTTTAAATCAGAAACTAAAATTTTTTCCTTATATAACAAGACCTTACTAATTATGAAAAGAGAGTGAGCATGTGGATGAAATAAAAAATTTATAAGATGTGGACATATATTCCTTACCATGGTTACTGCCTTGACGTTGTTCCTAGTTAAGCAAATGTCTTGGTTACTTTCATTGCCATCATGGAACTTTAAAAGAACATCTACCAAATCTTCCTCTGATTCATGGTCTTCTTTGGCTTTGGACTTTGCTTCTTTGTGTTCATTGATGATTTCTTCTAGTATGCGATCAATTTGTGCATGCACCTTCTCCAGCACAGGCCTCACACCAGTAAGAAGTTGAAGCCATTTAGCAGAAGGAAACAACTCTCCTATGTTAAAACCTCCTGCAGCTAACACTCCTTCTTTGAGTACTGTCATGAATTCATCATGGTATTTGCTGCGCTTCTTGCCCAAAGCAACTCTTGAAATTATGTTATACATAGTTGAGAGCACTGCTTGAGTGAGGTTTATGGGGGACCCTTCATGTGAACCAACCATTTTAACAAGATTGGTGAGTTCTTCTTCTCTGATAGGCTGGAATGAGTTCACACGTTTTGGGGAGAAAAGTTCCATGGTGCAGATTTTTCTTACCTTTTTCCAATAACTTCCATAGGGTGCAAAAGCAATATTTGTGTATCCATAGGAGGCTATATCTGCTGCTAGAAGTTGAGGCCTTGATGCAAAGATTGCATCATGTGTTTTCATGATCTCTTTAGCATACTCTGGTGAGGAAACAACGACTGTGAAGATTTCTCCTAGTTGGAGATGCATCAAGGGTCCATATATTTTGGCTAAGTCTCTTAATTTTCTGTGTGGTGTGGATGAAACAAGATGGTGTAAGTTTCCTATAATAGGCAACTTCCATGGCCCTGGGGGTATGCTAAGAGATGACTCAGTTTTCTTCAGGTTTCTCCCTAGTTTCAGTGCCACAATCATGGAGAGGAGAAAGGAAAAGATAAGAGCAAGTGTGTTGAGTATTTCAGAATCCATGATGAGAAAAGTTACGATTAAGAGTTCGTACAACTCATGATATATAAAGATGATTTATTGGTGGTGAACATGACGGAGAATCCAAGTTTAGAGATTTTAGTCACTTTTTTTTTTTTTCTAAAATGAAGAAATTGATAGATAAAGATAAAACAGGTGAGGAGATCAACTACCACGCTGTTGTTTCAATAAAAAGTACATGTCTGATATAATTAGACTTTATCGTTTACCATTATTTAAAAATTATTATATATATATATATATTTATATTTATTTGTATGTTTGATATGATTAGAATTTATCGTTTACCATAATTTTATTAGTTAAAGAAAAATTATTGTCTAATATATTGGATATTTTTGATGGACTAATATTAGGGAAATTTTTAATAATGAGAAATTAGTAAATTATAAGAGAATATGATACTTACTTTAACTTAAAACCTAGAAACATTAAGGTATTAGTTTTTCTTATTTATAAATTATTCAATTTTCTTATTTCGATGTTGTATAAGATTTTAACTCACTTGGATTTTCAGTAATCTTTTTCTAAAGTGTGATTCCCTTTCACGTTAGATCATCTCCCATTAAGTGGAGACATTTCTTAATCATGAGTATCCAATAATGACCTTATTTGTATTATTGTTTAATATAACGAGACTTACTTACTTGAAGTCTTTGTTAGAAAGATTTTCGACACAGGAATACACGATCTAGGATTATTGTTAGGTGGATCATCAATTTATTGGGTCTATGTTGACTAAGTTAAAAAAAAAATATTTTTCTTTATGGGCTATTGGTTCATTATATGATTACCTTTATTTGCATTTGAGTTCTATAGGGCAAATAGAAAACAAAGAATAGAGAAATGTTCCTTTAGTGAGAAGAAGAAAGAAGCCACCACGAGAAGAGAGGAAAAACATATTATTCATAGTAGCTCCGTGTAGAGAAGTTAGCTCGAAGAAGATGTTTTATTGTTCTTATTACTCTGTATCTTGATTCTTTGTAGTATTGTTAGATACTATTAGGATTACCTGTTATCCATCTTATTAGCAAAGAGAAAGAGTTTTGTTGATCTTTAGTGACTCAAAGAGAATTTGTATTGTACTAATTAATTATTAGTGGAAATTTTTGTCGGACTCTGTCGTAGATTTTTTCTTTCATATTGGTACACACTATTATTTATTTGTTGCATAATATTTTCAGAGTCTACTGTCATTTATATAAGGGAAAAGATATTTTGGGTTTTGCTTTTGCTTACTGTAATCTTTATTATCTTCCCCAACAATTGGTATTAGAGCTCTAGTTAAGGGTTCTGGTTATTATGGGGTGCATCAATTGTCTTGTGTCGGAGCCTGGTGGCCAAGTCACAACTGAATTGTAATGCTTAGACTGTTATGCTCTTAAGTAGAAATAGTTGTCCCATGACTATTGGCTATAGATTTTAGTCTAGTGCTAAACACTTGATCCAATAATTGGTATCAAAACCAAGGTCATGAGTTCAATTCCCAGCGGGACAATTACTTATAGCTCACTAATTGAAGAAACTGTAACACAATAACTACAATAAAATTCTATTTCCATATCTTATTCATTACTTATTTATTTTCAAAATAACACTTTAAATTAGTATAAAGTTTCTACTGAAAAGAGCTCTATTCAACCTCTATACCTTACAACTAATGGAAGAAATTAAGTAAGTTGTTTGAGTCTAAAAATTCCTTAAATAAGACATTCTCGATTAGGAAACTTGTAAGTTTGAAATATAAGGATGATTCCTCTATGGCAAAACACTAAAATAGTTTTCAAAATATGGTGAATCAATTAATTACTATGGAGATTGAGTTAGACAATAAGCTACTTGTATTGTTATTGTTTAGTTCATTACCAAACAATTGGGAGACATTAGTGGTATCTTTGAGTAATTCAGCTCCTAATGGAAAACATACTTTTGACATGATTTAAGATATTCTTTTAAAATAAAGAAACTAGGTGGAAAGGAAGTTGTAAGGTTAACCCTTTTACTCAAAATGAAGCATTAGTTATGGAGTTAAGAGAAATAAATCAATATAGAAATTCTCAGATCGTAAAGAGGAAAGTCTAAAGAAAGAAAAGACTTCATATGCTTCTATTACAATAAATTCGGGCATATGATCAAAGAATGCAAGTTCCTCAAGAGAGAAAGATCAAGAGGTGGAGGAAAGACTAATAATAATAAAAGATAGGTTATCATATGTAAGGGGTAAGCAAGGTTGTTGATATTAAAGATATTTGGATAAAGACTTGAAAGCAATAAGGGGGAGATTGATGATAATGTGAAACATGTACCTACATTCCCAAGAGATGATTTTGATAAAGATTTTATTCAACATTCAAGCAAGCCCAAGATGATTCTCGAAGACTAGATAGAGTCTTAAAATACTGGATATGGAGGTACAAGTTGATGAAGTAATATTATGCATAAGCCTCCAAAGCACAAGTGTGATAAAATTCATAACATGATATTTTTCACTGTCATAATCAATTATGATGCATCAGAAATGGAAAAATGATTTTCTCTGTCATAATTGATTATACTGGTAACATAATCAATTATGGTAATTCAAATTTGAAAAATATATCTGTTTTGAAGAATAAATGTTTTTGAATATATCCTGATTTTTATTCACGAAAATATTAATGTTCAACGACCATTTTCTGATGCTATTTTTCTATTTAATTAAGTTTTGATGAAAAATAAAAAACACACAATTACAGAATTTAAAAATACAATTTACATTCAATCAGTTTTGAGAAAAGAATTCTGAGCAAGGCAACATAGATATTTTACACCTTTTGAGAAAACCCTCTTCTCTACTGTCTTTTGTGCTCTCATTGTTAATCACACTTGTTCTTGGAGATTGACATTCTACAGACTTTTACAATTTGTTGTCTCCATTACCCAGGTGTGAATGTTCTTATCTTACTCCTTCATCCTTTGTGGGTTTAGGAGGTTGTTTCATCCTTTGATTTGTTCAAAGGAGGTGTTCATCCCTAGTGGGATTCTAGGGAGGTGTTCATCCCTAGTGGGATTATAGGGAGGTGTTCATCCTTAGTGGGTTTCTAAGGAGGTGATTGTCTTTTGAATTAGTTTACTTTTTACTGGTTCCTCTGCTGAGTTGATTGTAATTTGTGAACTTAATTTAAAAGATAGTGAATTGGGAGTCACTCTTGTGATTAGAGTTGACTGGGAACTGGATGTAGGGTTGACTATACCCGAACCAGTATAAATTACTGTGTGCTCTTCTCTTTCCCTTATCTCTTTCTCTTTTCCTGATTATATTATCGCTTCTGCTTTATCTGTGTTCAAACAAATTATTGACTCATAAATAAATTTTAATTTGACATCTATTTTAATTTGTGCATCTATTCACCCCCCTCTAGATGCCATTTGTCTAACAAGTGGTATCAGAGCTTGGTTAGATAAGATATTTCTAAACGATCTGTCAAGATGTCTATGCAGAATCAAGTTTACAGGGAAGGAGCCTCAATAAACAGACCAGCATTATTTGAAGGAGAAGACTATCAGTTTTGGAAAGCAAGAATGAAAATATTTTTACAAACACTAGATTATGGTATTTGGGATGTTGTACTCAATTGTCCCTACATTCCGATGAGAACAACGAAATCTGGAGTTGTTCCAAAGACTTTTGACCAATGGACGCCGGATGAAAATAAGTGTGCCCATTATGACGTAAGAGCCCGAAATGCTATTGTTTCTGCCTTAACTCGTAATGAATTTTTCAGGGTCTCACAATGCAAGACGACAAAATAAAAATGGGATACTCTTGAAGTAACACATGAAGGAACAAATGAAGTAAAACGAGCACGTAAGAACACACTCATCCAGGAGTATGAATTATTTCAAATGCAGCAAAATGAAAACATCACGGATTTCCAGACATGCTTCACACATATAGTAAATCACTTAAAAGCATTAGGAAAGAGTTTTGACAATGAGGAGTTGAACACAAAGATCTTGAAATCCTTAGACAGGAACTGACAACCAAATGTCACTGCTATTACATAATCAAAGGATGTCACAAAATGAATATTGTTACTCTATTTGGAAAGCTGCAAGAACATGAGATGGAACTACAAAGGTTAAACACTACAAGAAAATCGCGTATTACCGACGGATATTTACCGACGGATTTGTAACCGTTGGAAAATAATTATTACCCACGGATGTAAAATATTTGTGGAATTTGATCTTACCAACGGATATATCCGTCGGTAAAATAATAATTAGTTACCGACGGATATATCCGTCGATAAATCCGTCAGTAATTCACAGATGAATTTACCGACGGATATATCCGATCGGTAAATCCGTCGATAAATTAACAATTAATTACCGACGGATATTTCCGTCGATAAATTAACAATTAGTAAATATTCACCTAATTAAAAAATTAAGTATTTTTTATTTAATAATTTAATTTAATCATAATTAGATTAATTTATAATAATTTCTTAAATTAAATAATTTTAAAAAATAAATATATAAATATATAAATATATAAATATATAAATATATAAATATATAAATATATAAATATATAAATATATAAATAAATATATAAATATATAAATATATATATAAATATATAAATATATATATAAATATATAAATATATAAATATATAAATATATAAATATATAAATATATAAATATATAAATATATAAATATATAAATATATAAATATATAAATATATAAATATATAAATATATAAATATATAAATATATAAATATATAATTATATAAATATATAAATATATAAATATATAAATATATAAATATATAAATATATAAATATATAAATATATAAATATATAAATATATAAATATATAAATATATAAATATATAAATATATAAATATATAAATATATAAATATATAAATATATAAATATATAAATATATAAATATATAAATATATAAATATATAAATATATAAATA